CAGAAACAGTTTTGACTAGTCAGAATATTTTATCAAATCCAGGAATGAATCAAAACAAAACAAAATCAGTTGCCTTTATTTTACATCTGCAATAGATATGCTAGACTATATCTGCTTTAAAAAACTTTTTGAAGAAAATTTTTAACCTTTTACTGCAGCACATATAGAAAATTGTAAGCAAATTCAAAATGTGGAAAATTATGTATATCAGGCTTAATTTTAATCATTTGATTGATGGCAGTGAATAACACATTTACATGATAGTCTTTATCAGGTAATTGTTGATTATAAACTATGAATGCATCAAAAAACAATGTAAATTGTGTTTATAAATAGAATAATTGGATGTTTAAAACAAGGGTTTGTCTATTTACAATGTATGATAAATCTACAGTAAAAGATAATAGTGTTTAGTTTCTATTTTATCTTTTATATTTCCTGTTGTATTTAAAAAACAAAGTGTTTTACTATATCTTTATATGAACAAAAAAATACCAATGGTTTTCTGACAACTGTTTGACTATAGATTCTGTTCAACATAATTATACATACTGTTTCACCAACTACTCTGTTGAAATGACCTTACATCAAATATAGATACAGATTACAGATAACAATGTTCAATGGCTACATATACTGTTAAATTACTATACAGACTGTTTGACAGACTACAGATACTGTTCAATTGACTATCTTTACTGTTCAATGGGCTATCTTTACTGTTCGATTACTATCCATATTATTCAATAGACTACATATAGGGCCTACTGTTTGATTTACTATACATATATTGGTTGATAGACTACAGATTCTGTTCAATGGCTACATATACTGTTCGATTGACAATACATATAATTTGATAGATTTCAATAAATGACTACGTATACTGTTTGATAGACTATAAATATAGTCTGATAGATTAAAGACTCTTATCAATGAATACATATACTGACTTTACATCAAGTTTGATAGACTACATATACTGTTCAAATGACTACATATTGTTCGATAGACTACGGTTCTATTCAATGACTACATATACTGTTCGATAGACTACAGTTTTGGTTTCATGACTACATATACACATATATTGTTTGATAGACTACAGATTCGTTTCAATGACTACATATACTGTTCAATTGACTATACATATACTGTTGATAGACTACAGTTTCGTTTTTTAGGACTAGATATACAGTTAAATTGACTATACATATATTGTTTGATAGTCTACAGATTCTGTTAAAGTGACCTGTCTTCTTTTAAACTTAAATACATCCATTTCCTTACAAGGATGAAAATGTAAATTTTCTCAGGGATCCTATCTACCAATTGATCCGTACTTGCCAAGACTAAATTGGCTTTAATGCTTTAATGCTTATCTATTGCCATTTTTACCAAAGGAACATAGACTGTAACATTGACAGATTATGACTCACAATATCCACTCGGATGTGTTGTTTGATAGAACAGCATATTGCCTTATATTCCAACTTCTACGATTTTACATGCATAATGTCTATTCTGACACAAACAGTCTAAGTAGAGACTCATCTATGCTCAATTAACTATAAAACGCAAACTTTGTGCATTTAATATTATGGTTGCAGGCCAAGTAATAATGATTGAATTGACAACAAAACCAATCTAAAGATAGCAAGTCTAGGTTAAAAAGAATATTGTTCACACCACCTGTTAAGAAAATATCAATATGCATATGTAAGTGCAGTTAAAGAGTGACTATATAGAGTGTAATAGTATTAATGCAGGTTAAAGTATGTAGAGAGTATTTGTTAAGAGAGATAAAAGGTATGAGATTGACAAGGTGGTTTAAAAAGTTCACATCTCACGATATTTTATCTTTAAGCTATATGACACACACATGGCTCATTACATCCAGAAACTAGCTATTAATTTGGCTTGGCCTTAAAATGGTTATCAAAGGTCATAGGTCAATTCAACTTGGAAAGAATAGAAAGGTTAGTGTCACTAAACTACAGGTGGTTAAAGGGTTAAAATAAAGCACTTTTGTAAAGCTTCAAGGGTTAATTTAGAGTTGAGAAGCAGTTGCAGATGAGAGTTGGTCTCTTTCAATTGAAAACAAACACAGCTTTAATGTTGAAAACAAACTTTATCCCATGAATAAAAATCAACATAATTATAATATAATCAATAAAAAGGAATAAAACTTTTGATATGTAATATATAAGATATAATATAAATATGATATATATGAAAAATGATTTTGCTACAAAATTCTAATCTTTCCAAGTTGTAAAGCCATTAACATAAGCCAATTTATATACTACTAAAAGCTAAAATTATTAAATTGTTTGTTCTTGGGTACCTTAGGTTTCTGATAAGTTTGATATTGATTTAGGACAACTGAGAAGAAATGAACACATTGTAACAGAGGAAGTTTTAATCACCAAATATTTAAGACATGCAGTTTTGAACCAAGTACTCACCAAAAACAAACAATTTTTACAATATCACATAATAACTATTAACTGATAACATTTGAAATAAAAGCTAAGCTCTGGATAGAATGGACAATATGCGCTCACATAGCTCAATATTGATATATTATTTAAATGTTTATAAAGCAGTGTTAAATGTATGTGTAATATGAGTGCTATAATATAATTTACTCCTAAGGCTTTCCACTAATCATCATAAATTCATTGTATCTTTTTCTAACATACATAGCATAATGTACTGTGCTAGTGCAAGAGATGTAATGAGATGGATATGCAATAAATGCCATACATTGATCAATTATGCATCAACACTGAAATGTCTATTCAAGTGTAGCAACCTTCTATTTCATTATTCAACAAGTGACAAAGTGCTGTAAATAAATAACGCATCTATAAATGAAAACATTGTGCACATGAAACTAATTATGCCTGAAACAGATGAGAAATATTATGGGCCTGATGGAAGGAAGTTTTCATGGAGTTTCCACATATTGCACAAGACATATTTGTTGGAATGGATGTTAAGCACACTGATATGAAAGCTGATTTGATAGTTTATAACTAATACTGATGTAAATGATGAACGGAATGATAGAGTGTTGTCAATTGGAATGGAATGGTTATCAAAGCAATATCAAACATTGAATGAAATAAAACTTTCTTTGAATTTTTCATATGAAATTTGCTTCTAAATGAAATTATTTCCCGGATTTTCTTTAAAGGTGTTCATAAGAAGCAGAGATTTGAATATTACTCAATTCAGAACAGAGAACAAACAAATAATTCCAAAGATTTAGTTAACTGCTTTTAAAAAGTGAGTTTGAATTGGTTAAATTGGATTCCTAGCACTGTAAGCAAGTAAATGTTAGTCAATCTAAATGTGTCAATATTTTATATAATGTGTTATATATGTGTGATGATGTTATAACTATATATGTTATAAATAACAATAATCTTGATGGAATGATGATTTCTTTATATCTTAAAGCTGACTTTTATCTGGATAGTTGATAAATTTTAAATTCTAATATGAAACTCTCGATTTCTTTTCAAATAATACTTTGAGTTGGATATGATATTTCAAGTCTTAAAGAATATTGCAGATAAGGAATGGTTTTTAAAGTTTATCACGTGAATAAATGAATTAATGGAATTTCTACTGCATAAGAAAAGTCAACTGTAACATATAAATATCAAATACGCCATATATCAAAAAAAAAAAAAATTATATATGGAATGTAAAAATCAAAGAAATCAAAAAATTCACAATCACAAAGAAATTACAACAAATAAAATCACTACCATATGGTTTAACATTGAGCTAATTTCTAGAAATTTGAAAAACACCATTTATTCAAATTCACCAAACATCTAGGTTTATAATAAAAATTTAAAATCTAATGACTAAATATTATTAGCTTGTTATTTTCACAGAATAGTTGAAAATTTGAAAAATAATGCCCAACCATATGATCAAATAATCAAGTAGAAAATAAGATTGTTAGAGTTATTTCCTCCTGAATCTTTAATCAAGGGAAGTAACTCTGCATGCATCAATTTATCTTCTTCTATACCTGGTTGGTTCTTCTTGTTCACTCAATTTAACAGGAGGGGTTGGTGTGTTACGGTAAGAATTGGAATTAGACACAAGACCATGTTCATTTGGACCTGAAAATATACAGTTATATTTACATCAAGAAATATTCTTTTGTCCTGTTTATTTGAGTTTTTCTTGGAAAGTGGCTCAATTTCAGCCATATTGTTCTTGAACTGATTACAAAGGAATACAACCCGAAAGATTAAGTTATGGATATATAAGTATTAGATCTTCTTATAGAAGCAGTCTGATTTTTGAGTAGGTCAGAAATTCAGCTGCTCAAATTTATGAGAACTATAGACCAAAATCATGAGATATGTGTCTCTTGCAGTTACTTTTAAGAACTTTTTACAGTTGCTTTGAATTCAAATTCTAGAGAAATATGTCTCCTAATTATTCTGAAGGTTTTAACTAAATTATCAATCCATTAAAACGCCCAACACCAAAACTAGCTTAAACCTGATTACTTAAAGGTATACTACCTCTTAAGACGACCAAAAAAATTAAAAGTTTTAAATGATTTTGTTCATCAGTGGATTTGGTGACATAACTACACAAAAGAATCCCTGATGCAATGACGATTTAAGCTTATCCGTTAAAGTAGGTAATTTTGAAACATGCTTAGAAGAGTATTGTCAATAAGCTTATGTAGTTTAATGGATATATTGTCTTATATACAGATTCTATTCTTTAGTCATGGCACCTGGTAAGACCAACTGATGAATATATTCTCATATATTCACGTATTTCTAATAATGAAAATTTTGCACCTTTAATTTTGAATTCAAAATCTTTTTCAATTGCAAAATAGAGAAAATCTGTTCACATGATGCATCCATTTTCTAATGTCAGCCACTGACAGCAATCCAGTGACTTCTAATTAAAACTGTGGAAACAACCTGGCTCATTCTATGATTACTGAACTACTGTTGCTTTACATACACAATACAGAAATTAAAGTATATGATATACCTACCTGTATAGGAAGAATCTAAATTTTCTTGTAAATAAGATGGTTTAGCTATTGTTAAATGAACAACATCTTGTGTTGCCTTTAATGCTTGTACGGCAGTTTCATGTGTGACTTCTTCTAAATTGACTTCATTTACCTGAAATTTACCAGAACATTTATATAACTATGTTGCTAAACATGTAGGTGGACTAAAGATAAAAGTCACAACACTTAAGTGCAATAAAATGAATTTTTATGTGTATGTGTTAGGGTTGCTATTAGACATTGTGCAATTTTGTCACATTCACCTAGTCACAACATTTATTTTGAACATGTGTAAAACAAACTGTTTGGCAATCTGTTCTGGAATGTGTTGAAAACAACAATCTCATTGTGCAGTATAAAAGCGCAGTACACATGTGACAAAAACACTACCAAAACGTGTAGAAAAATCCAAAGTATAGATCTCAACCTAACTATCAAATTATATAATTAAACAAAGATTTAATATGAGCATGTCCTTTTAGGTTTAAAGGGAAGTGCCGCCTAGACCTTTCTAGAAAAAAGGTTTAACCTTTACACTTGATTTGTGACAAGATTTGATCAAAACTTCAGGTTAGCAGACAATCGTACAACACACAGAGTCAATATGTCTCCCATGTATGTGATAAAAACAGTACATACAGCAATTAATCGATCACCAACAGCTAGTCGGCCATCTTGTTCAGCAGCTCCACCTTCAATTAATTTAGTTACAAATATACCATTATCACCTGGAATGTGTTGATTACCTTTACCTCCTGCAATACTGAATCCTAAACCTGAAATTATACAATCATAAGCTATATCATCTACAAATTATAATATTAGCATGATTATGCAGTGTCTTTCTACCAAGAATATTTTCAAATAAGAACAATCTGCAAATTTTTCAAATAACTTAAAGATGAGTATCTTTTTTTTCAGTACTATGATAATAATTAATGTAGTCAGCAATCTGATGTAGGTTAATTAAGCAATAATCAGAAAGCAAGAGAGAAATAAAAATCAATTACCAGGAAGTTGAAAGGTGATTAAAATAAGAAATGATGTTAATCTATGTTATTAACATGTCAATGAAAGACGTCTACGTCTTGTCTAGATAATATTATCTCTCACTTCACATCAAACTACTCGACTTACATCTTAATTCAATTCTAATTAACAGCTCTTATGGCATTTCGGGACAAGACCACATCACATAACTCAGTATGTATAATATATAATTTAAACATCATTACAAATATACTACAATCCTCACTCACATAATGCTACAAGTGCCTATTATTTAAGTTTCTCTTCATTTCTGCCATGTATGTTGTAAACATCTGAGTTTTATAGAAAATTACAGAGCAAGCTTTAAACTTGTATCATAAAAGGAGACATTTCAATATCAGTGCAATAAAGCATAATGTGGGGTTACACATAAGCAGATTTTAAGCTGTATTCCAATGAGATAAGAATTAATTAAGAATTAATAAATGAATATTACATAATATATAACAGACTATTCAAATTCTAAACATAATGTTAAATCTCGCATACATCTAATATATATTCAATAAATATTTAATATCATGTCTGTTATTACTTTTTATTCATAATCACCCTAAATTTCATAATAACACTGACATTAAGAGATGTTAATGTACTAACTATAGAAATACAATGCTGTTTTATGAGTTAGCATATCATACTTATTGTCATTTAAAATAATGGAATTTTATGCCCTCTTTCCAACAAATGATTGGGCTTATGAAGACGCAAGAAATGTGCAATGAGAAAATTTTTCCAGGACAGCAGCATTTGTAATTTCCAACTATCGAGGGATCTTTAACATGCAGTTTGTAGCACGGGGCCTAGATTTGCTGTCCAATCCCAATAGACACTTTTCCATGCTAGCCCCTTTGACCTCCATTAATAACCATGTTGAATATTCTGATGGCATTTATCTCCATGTATGGCAGATTGAACTCCTGACCTTCAGGTTAGCCAACACACTAAGCCACTGCAGCTCCATTGTGTCATTTAAAAGTCCATGGCACTTGAACAAGCAATGCCTGATTACCTTTTCAGAACACTTAAGACCAGACTGTATTAAGGTGAGTCACTTCTTTCAGACAATTCAAATTGTTATTGGTATTTATTTGGTCCTTATGACATAGCTGAATTTCTTCCATGAATTTTGAACAAATGTCTTGTCTCGAGGGTTTTATACTATGTTAGAAAAAAGACCAGTCTCTTGGTTATTAATTTTATCTTTGGAATTACGTCAACTTGATATAATAACCTACCTTTATTTCCTTTTACTAATTCCAATTCCATTACATTTTCAGTTGGTGCCTTCAATCTCTTAACATACTGAAACACAATAATATCAGGTGTGTTATAAAACTTTCGATAAGAGTATGACTATAACTAAAAAAGACTTAGAAGGTAATTATCTGGCAAATCTTTACTGGAATTAAAGGATCCACAGACATCTGACCAAGAAGCTGGAAGGTGTAAACACAAGCTATACCTGTTGGGGTGATGGGGTGATTAATGCCCTTCTATGAAAAATTGGAGATACAGTCTATAACATAAGATTATTTCTTTCATAGAATGAAAATTAACAAAAAAAGTGTCAATAAGTTTGTTGAATGATTGAAATTTGTATAGTTCAGATGAATGATTAATATAGAATCATTTTAAATGTTTGTTAATTTTGTATGGTTTGAATTAATAATTCATAGAGAGTCATGTTGAATGATTGTTAATTTTGTATAGTTCATGTTCTATGATTGTTAATCTTGTATAGTTCATGTTGAATGATTGTTAATTTTGTATATTTCATGTTGTATGATTGTTAATCTTGTATTTTTCATGTTGTATGATTGCTAATCTTGTATATTTCATGTTGTATGATTGTTAATCTTGTATATTTCATGTTGTATGATTCTTAATTTTGTATATTTCATGTTGTATGATTGTTAATTTTGTATAGTTCATGTTGTATGATTGTTAACCTTGTATAGTTCATGTTGTATGATTGTTAATTTTGTATATTTCATGTTGTATGATTGTTAATCTTGTATAGTTCATGTTGTATGATTGTTAATTTTGTATATTTCATGTTGTATGATTGTTAATTTTGTATATTTCATGTTGTATGATTGTTAATTTTGTATATTTCATGTTGTATGATTGTTAATCTTGTATATTTCATGATATATGATTGTTAACTTTGTATATTTCATGTTGTATGATTGTGAATTTTGTATATTTCATGTTGTATGATTGTTAATTTTGTATATTTCACGTTGTATGATTGTTAACTTTGTATATTTCATGTTGTATGATTGTTAATCTTGTATATTTCATGTTGTATGATTGTTAATCTTGTATAGTTCATGTTGTATGATTGTGAATTTTGTATAGTTCATGTTGTATGATTGTGAATTTTGTATAGTTCATGTTGTATGATTGTGAATTTTGTATATTTCATGTTGTATGATTGTTAATTTTGTATATTTCATGTTGTATTATTGTTAATTTTGTATAGTTCATGTTGTATTATTGTTAATCTTGTATAGTTCATGTTGTATGATTGTGAATTTTGTATAGTTCATGTTGTATGATTGTTAATTTTGTATATTGATTGTTAATTTTGTATATTTCATGTTGTATGATTGTTAATTTTGTATATTTCATGTTGTATGATTGTTAATCTTGTATAGTTCATGTTGTATGATTGTTAATCTTGTATAGTTCATGTTGTATGATTGTTAATTTTGTATATTTGATGTTGTATGATTGTTAATTTTGTGTATTTCATGTTGTATGATTGTTAATCTTGTATAGTTCATGTTGTATGATTGTTAATGTGGGCTTTTTTTTTATCATATTTTCTCTTTTATGATATCAAATCATCCAAAATCGTTTTACCATTACTTTAAAGAAATTGCAAGAAAATCACCCAAATACCAAAACTATTATCCAAGAATAGAACGTAGATTATGCAGATCTTTCAAAGTTTAAATGGCTGACAGTGTCAATGTCTTCAACAGATTAAACTGTCAATCAATTCATATTATCAACAGTCCATGTAAATCACGTCTGATAAAATATGGAAATTTTGTGTCTGATAAAATACTGTAGAAAATTATAAACTCTTTCAACATTGTTGACATCAAAAAGATATCTTAGCTAAGGGACATCTTCATATCAAAGTCAAGAGAGATGCTTTTCTCAGATCTCAACAAGAATAGAAACTGTATCCATGGCAACATTTGAAATTTCTATGATAATAAAATTGGATATATGTAATCATAGATTGTTTCAATCATATGCTTGATTCAAACGAGAACATTTGAAATGATATACTCTCTCTTCTATGAAATCCTGATATGTTTTGTTAAATCTCTGAAATAAATCAAGGTTCATCCAAACAATGGACCGAAAAAAGAAGACAAATCCTGATTATAAGATTGAACAAGATGTTAAATGGTACTTAAGTGTGAACTTAGCTTTTATGGAAAATAGAAACAATCACCAATGATAAACAAATGAAAATCTAAACCAGACATTACTGTCATTATTTTTCTGTCATGGTCATCGTATCTTATGATTGGATCAGGATAGTGTAAGCAACAATACCCTACCAATATAACTTTGGTTCCAGCCTGTTTCAAAGCTTCTACAGCTCCAGCATGTGTTGTATTTGATACATCTGCGTCATTCACTTTAACAATTATATCATTCATTCTGAAATAGAAAAAAACATCTTGACTTTTATGTTATATTAATATACCGGACAATAAATATATCATTTCAATTTCATATCATCTGTAACAGCTCTTATATAAATCACTTGTCTTTTACAGAAACCTATATATATAAAGCCTGTTCCCCAATCCCTTTCATTTCTATGAATAAAATACTGTTTACAAAAAAGTCCACAAGTCAGCAAATTATGGCAAATATAGCAGTTCCAATTTTGTCAAGTTATAAAAAATCAGGTACTAGTATTGATACACCCTGTACTAAGTTCTGTCCAAATTCAGAGGAACCAAACAAATATGAAGGCATGAATAATATGGATATATGAAATAGTCCATTTGATTATATTTTACAAATAACCATATAATAAGAGATAGAATATTCTATATGGTAAGTTATATGACTGACCAATATAATCAAGATTACATAAGATGATAAAAATATAAACTGATTGTGATTTGTTAGCTAACTAAGATTGATAATAAATATCAATTGAAGTGAAAAGTGATTATTCATCCTATCACAGTCATACATCATACTGTGTTTCCAGAGTTTTTGTCTTAACAAAATCCTATGAATTATAGAGATATAATATGATTCATGTTGACAAAGCATGTAAAAAACAGACAAGTAACTTATTTTCTAGTCTCTAAAGCTTTTAGTGGTATAATTCAACAACAAATAAAGTATGTTAAAATTACCACCTGTCTTGTTTAATTACTGTAATTTTACACTAAAATTATGATAGATGTTCATGTTAAACTTATAAATCACAACAAAATAAAGCTTGTGAAAAATGAATATGAAAAATAACTGGAAATTACAGTATTATGAAATACATTTTAAGGATTCATAGTTTTTCTTTAAATGCAATAATCCTAAAGTATTCTTTCTTCGATCAGGATTCAAAAATAAAGGCCATGTGTTTCCCTGACAAATAGTTACTATTCTAGATCTTATATATTCAGTATTTCAATTAAGCAGTGAAACAATAATTCTAATTTAAGCCTCCAGAACACAATCCAATCCCTTGTATTACTCACTGGAGTCATATTTTGAAAATAGTTTAAATTTGCAGGAAGATTTTTTTTACCCAAATGATCACAAAATAAGTTATAATGGGATAATGTGCTAGCTTCAAAATAACACAAATTGTTAAAAATCATGTCTCCCTTTGAACAAAAAATGTCTCTATTTGAATTCAGATCTATCAATTTCTGTTTACATTTAAAACCATTCCTGGTTTGTTCATATCAAAGTTAATAGAAGGAACTTGGCTTGGCTTTTGAACTTCATATGCTCATAAACACTTTTAAAACGTTCAATTTTAACTTTTATGATTACAAAATATACCATTAAACACCATTAATTGTTATAACAATATACATATTTAATAAAAATATGCAGTACAGTGCACTAATTCAAAAGTAAAAGGTAAAAAAGTGTGACAATGGTGAAAATGATGTTCATGCCTCTAGAGAGCCATCATTTTATAATTAAATCAACAGGGAAACTAATTTGCCTTTATCTTGAAATATATTGATAATAGTGGTCATTTACTAGTGTTTAATTAGAATGGTTATTGGAAGGTCAGACTTCTAAATGACTATTACTCATCTAATAAATTCATATATTAATAATGACTAGTCACATTATAATCACTTCATGGTAGTTCAATTCTTCAACCAATATCACACTGTTTTTCACATGTTTCTAGAGGATGTTCCGTCTAGATGATGTTTTTCAATTACCCTTGTAATCTTCAGAGAGAAAATCAATGGCAAAAGAAGACAATGTATTCTATTTTTATTTATTTTTTATTATGAAGCTATTTACTGAAATATGGTTTGGTGCATGCATACTTTTAGAGTTTTAATTCTCATTGAAAACACGAAAAAAGATTGTTGGAGTCTTTTAGGTACACCAAAACACATTGTAGGGTTGGCATTGTTGATTAACTCAATCATAAATTTACAAAACAAAAGGTAAAACTGAATAACACACATTTTTCAAAATCCTAAACAACAATAGCTCCAAACTCATAGAAATTGTCTCCTTCATGATTGTGTTCATTAAGCTTTTCATAAGTTTTCTATTCATTGAAACATTTCTATTTATAATACAATACAACCCAGACTTCGTTCAATTCCTATGTTACTAGGTTTATTCTAACAATTAACTGAAGTTAATTGAACACAATTCAAATTAGAAATCAAACACTAAATTTATCAAAATTGGTATTCCAGTTAGGAGCAAGTTTTTCACAATCAGCAAGAAAATATAAAAGAAATAAATGACCATATTATTATATAATCAAAGTATTTTTGAAAATTATATTAAATGAAATGAAATGAATGGAGTTTTACGTCCTACTTTTCTGCACCCAAAGTATTATTGAGATCTACAGTAACTATTAATTTGTTTCAAAAAGACATTCCTCTTTTTTGTGGGTCGAAAAAAATTTTTGCTCTAATTTGTAAAACCTGTACACTGAAATCTAAAGAAATGTTACCTTTGGTGTATCTGAAAGTTTAAACTAAAAAATCCAATTTATTTTTAAATGCTAAAAATATTTAAAAACATTACGCAAGACTTTTAAGTTTGTTATGCTTTTTTGAAGCTGTGAGAAAACTATTGCACAGATTTAAGTAAAATAAAATCCTAATTGTAGAGAAATATGTCTCCTACGTAATCTAAAGGTTTCAACTAATAATATCAAACAACAAACACCAAAGCTAGGCAAAACTTGTTAACAGTAATAATTAACCCTTTTAAAAAAATTCTGTTTCATCAAGAAAATTGATATAAATAGCATACTACTTTAGAAATATTTTCAGGTATAATATTTGTTTTTGAAACTGAAAACTTTTTACAAAAAAGCTGATACCCCTTTAAACAAATCTTTAATCAAAGTGAACTTAACAAAAAAGAGTCCTTTCAACATTACAAATATATAACTTTTTCTGAATGAAATGGGTAACTTTTATGTGACACAAACAGGCAACTACTTTGAGCATTCTTCTAATTCTGGCCAAAATTGTTCTCAGAACTGACTCATTAATTAGTGAATGACCAATGAGCCAAAGATATAAAAAGCAGCCATTTCATGAAATCAGACTGAACTTTAACCACTCCTGTACCTTATCTATAACAAGGCTCAGTAATCAATGTACATAAAAAAAACAGAAATTACATCTATTGTTTTACAATATGTCTAGAACAAAGTCTCTATAGAATTGACAATTTAATGACAGTCATTGATGAAGACAATGAATAATCATAGTCGCATAGAAATTCCTGTAAATATAACTTAGACACATTGTAATAGTGCTCAATTAAAGTATTCAATATCTTGCTAGATATTCAACCAACCATTCATTCAAAAACAAAATCTATCAGCTGACAACATTTCAAAACATTGCATTTATACATATATATAACTATCCATAAAGGGACAGGTGTGCCATTTTGGGAGGTTGATTTGAGTCTTGAATATATGTAAATAGTCTTCAGAAGGACTAGATATGTACCCAAATCCCATTATTCCTACAAAAATCATCTCAAATTAAGACTTTCTTTTCCTTTTTCTATAGGTATATTTTCTATATATGGCAGTGTCACAAGAGAAGACTATCTTTTTAATTTTCAAACACCGATAATTTTGAACACAAATGGATTTGAAGGCTCAAATTTTAACAGTGAGCTGTGAACACTATTACTGATAGGCATAGCTAAAAAAAAGTTCCCTTTTCTGAAAGTATGATTGGTAAATAAATGGCGCTTCAGTCGCTTTAAGATGTACATGTTATATAACATAAAAAAAATACAACTTCTAATATCAATAAATTCTGATAAAAAAGCCAATTTGACTGATAAGAAATCTCTTTATATTTGATAAAGAAATAGAACTGGTATTTTCTATGATACAGAATAATATTTCCCTTATGACCTAGTAATTGTGAAAGAAAAATCAGAGTTTCCTGACAGGCGAGTATCATTGTTAGATGAGAGGAAGATTCAAAGAGAAATCAATTAGAAATGGATTACCTGAATATCCTGATTTCATACAAAATAGGAAACATGTTGTACCAGTTAATGTTGGATTTACATTGTGAATAATAGAGTAGAATACAAGTAAATACTAAGTAAGTAGTTCTCAGTGGAGATTTAAAACTTGTGTTAATGACAGATCAACAATCACACAGAATATAAATACATCAGCTACACATTCTTTACTTCACTATGGTAAGGCACAGTAAATTTAAATCAATTATTCCTACACAATTGACTAAATCCTAGTGACGTTCTGATGGGACGTTCAGACGGAAATCAGTCATGTAAGAGATCCCCCTGGAATTCACTTCTCATCCACTAATAATGCATAAGTTTATTGTTTTTCTATTATGCCATTGTTTTCTAGTCAGTATATTAGAATAGTCACTTTGTTGATGAAATAGTACATTATTAGTCTGGAACGGTCTTTAATAATCTTAATTGAGGTCCACTGTTGTGCTTTAAATATATGGTTCCATTAGAATAATGTTCACAAATTTTATTTTCAATGTATTATTCCAATGCCAGTATGTCTTCAATGAAATCCAAAGTCTGTTAAAATTACTGATTTAAAGAGAACGTTTTAATTAAAGTAACAATGATAAGGAAATGTTATCAATAATTCAACTAAACCTCTTAGTGATATCCTTTCATTCATTTATACCATCGTATATTTTCATGTGTTTTTAAATGTTATTGTATCTCTGGAGATATCCATTAATCAGACCTAAATGTAGATCAAATTTTCACTAGATCCAATAGAACAGTCCTCACTGGATAAAAAAAGCTAATTTGTTTGTCTGATACAATATATGGTTGTGATTTTATTTTTAACTCTCCAAGACCATAGATTTCAGTTTTACACAAATTTAATGAAGTCACAAAACGAACACTTAAGTTAGTAACAAAAGTTTTAATTAGATATGTAACAT